AGTACAAAAGCAGAGGACTTACTGCAGGGAACAGTCCTAGCCAGCAGAGGGTGCTGTGACATGATTACTGCATAGGCTGTAAATAAAAAGGATTACTGTCAATATAGGCAGCAAAATAGAAGCTAAACAAATATAGGTTTGTGTAAATTGATGAACATTTCAATGCTTATTTGTTATTCTGAAAACTTTACTACTGTTAACTATGTTACAGAGGAGGATCCATTGCCATATCGGGTCCCTGGGGAACAAAAATAGCTCCTGGGCCCCTATAAACAGCCCATACACTGGGCATGTGTATGGGTTTTATATGTTATATATATATATATTTCCAAAGATTCAGCATTACAGCACTGAACTTAAATAACAGGTCTTGAAAGTTGGATTAGCACAAACCTGTTGACAGCGGCAGCTTTAAAACCATTAAACACTAAGAAGTTATATTACCAACTGCAAATTAGAGAAAAGAGAAGATTGCTTTGTCTTAATTTTGGGAATACCAAGCAACACAAAAGAAGTAGTTTTCGGATTAAATAAATAATTTTCTAGCAAATAAAAAACACATTTTTCCTCCCATCTTACTAAACTACAATTCAGCTGAAGTTTACATACACATGCTGTTGAATTAATCCACAATGCAGTGCTTAAAGTCCCTGCTGTGTGTCTACAGGCCCAAACAACCTACGTCAATCATTGTCCAAAGTGCGTAAACCAAATAAATTCCCGATGTGACGAGTGAAATTTGCATCATTATGCCTACAAGCTGGCAACTAGTTTGACTGACACACACATTTAAACGCATGAAAACATATATACACACACAGTCTCTTTAGTTGCCTCTTGTCCAGCCCTCACGTTCAAACAACACCTCTCTGATGGCTGCAAACAGTGTCTTAATAGCTGCTTAATTCTCATGAAATCAACACAAAATAGCTTGTTTTACTCAAATGTCTAAAGCTTGACTTGACCGCACCTATTATTTTGAAAATTACTCAGCAATAATGTATGATGATGTCACTGTAAAATCATATTTTAACCCTTAAGCGAGGGAGTGTTATGTTTCTCTGAGGGTGGTGGAAATTCTCCAGAATTTGGGATTCTGGAGAATTTCAGAGGTACAAGCAGAATTTGAAATGCTCCTCCATTAATATTAAACGTGACTGACAGAAACAGGGTAAAAGGTTGAGGGTTACATAAGTTCAGCTGTTCACACAGCAGCAGAGTAGATGAAAGGATGAAAGGTTGAGGGGCTTTCGTGGGTTTGACTGGTCTCACGCCAGACGGCGGTTAGCAGAACCAGACTTCCTTTGAAAAGCAGCTGATATTTTCCCCCCGGGAAGAGTTGGGTTGCCTGTCGGCTCGACTGGTAGCTAGCCGTCATTGTGGGAGAGATTGGAGACTGGTATTCCGGCTGTCACAATTCTGTCCAGTTTTTCCGTAACAAGAGGTTAAGAGGTGCAAGAGAGACACAGTCTTATGCAAGAGTGTTTCAATACTTTAATAACACCTTTTTTTCTCAATGAAAAATTATGGGATCATTATTTATTAATTGCTTCCAAATTGCCAGCGTTCTTTCAAGCTAAGTTTGGCAGATTTATACTCCAACTTATTGGGAAACTTTGTATTACATGAGAAAATCTGTATCAGTTTCATCTCTTTGTGTTTGCACAAGACAAATAGCCTAGCCCATCTTAGCACAAAGTTTGTTAGCAACAGAATCCAGCTAGCGCCGTCAAAAAAGAGAAAATATACCTTTCCAAATGTGTCTTATTTACATGTGGCTAAGCTAAGCAGTGTAAGCTAGAAAGATAGTCAACTGTAAGAGTCACCAGGGTTTTTCTTTAGTACTAAAGTGAGCAACATGCAGCAACTTCATGGAACTTCTCAGGTGGGACTTCGTGGGACTTTGTAATGCTTTTGTGTTGGAGCCCCAGGTTCGAATCCCACTCTGCATTTCCACCAATGAATCCCAACAGCATGCAACCTATGAAATATATAGCAATTGTGATTCGCTTTGGATAAAAGTGTCAGCTAAATGAGTAAATATGATGTGCTGCATGCAGTTAGCTGTTGCTTCTTAGTAAATGGCTTAAATTTGTTAACTAACGTGGCCCGATAACCTGACTTCATTTTCATTTCGCTTAATTTCATCTACTCAACCTGACACTGTGTTTGTGTTACTCAATTCTTGTTGGGAGAGTCTTCGGTCAGGGAGGTATATGTTTTATCCAAACTAGTAAGAGTTGATTGCATTTATCTTAATATTTCTGTTCAATACCAATTCAAGAGATGTTATATCTGTAAGTCCACTTACAGTGCATCCACACTTGTTGACATTTTTCTGCCCATCTGTTAGTCACTACTTTTCATGGGCGTATACAGTCTATGGTGTATATTCAGCAAAATAGGCACCAATGAACACAACACCAGACTTATTTGAATAGCCGACCAATTTGAAGATGTGAAGATTTGGAGAGAGGTCTGTAATTAGGCTAAAGCTAAACTAGCTGGTTAAACCACAGTGTTTGATTTATGTTTCTTTCTGAGTGAAATATAGCCTATAAGATACAACAAAATATGACAGCTTTTGAGTTGTTGGAAGACATGACTGTGGCCAAAGATTGAATTTATATTGAGGTTGACATTGATCTTTGTGGAACAAGTAGCTGACAAAAAACTCACACCACAAAGTCCAGAGGAGCTGTTGCAGAAGGTTGTATACGACTGAAAACTCCAGAACAGCTACTAAATGTACTGTGTGATTTAATTGTAGATCAACTAAGTATTCCTTAAATGTTGAACAAAAATTACAAAACTGATTGGAGAGAAATAGAGTATAACAGAAGGACAGAGATAATTTTTTCACCTTTCACGGTGACAGATTCAAAGACAGGTGGTCCTGCATAGCTCCATTGGTGAAAACACGGTAGGCTGAAGGGTGTGACTCCCACCGGGGCCTGCTGGACTACACATGATCGCACTCATGATACTGAAAGGTGTTTGGGATGAAAGGGTCCAGCAAATTGTTGAATGCAAAGTGTAGTAGAGGGTCAGAAAGCCGAGCGTGGCATTCTCCAAGGCATGGAAGAACACTGATCCCTCCCCTGGGCAGAGCGGGGTGTCCTCCTTGATTACTCTTAACAAGTAATTAGGCTGAAGCTAAACTAGCTTCCCATGGAAAACAGAGCTGGGCATCTCTGGAGTTGCACATGCATGCTCTTAATAACCATTTATTGCCATGCCGTAGATGGCATTTTGTAAACAAACCTGGATTTGATCTGAATTCATCACCCGTGCCAGAGCGGTGTTTGGTTTTTAGCTTTAGGCACAGAGGATGCCATGTCAGGTCACCCCAGCTGGCTTGAACCTTGCTGACACTGTGGTTGGCCAGTGACCAAACTCACCAGTGGGTTCTCACATGACTGGAGCAGCAATGTCTTTTAGTAAACCTCAGCCTCTGTAGGTAGGAGTTCCAACGTCTGGGGAGCTGTTAGTGTCCGCAGTATATATGTGTAAGCTTTTATCTACAGGTGAAAAAGAGAGAAAAAGGGCACGGTAAACACAAACATATTGACCTGCAATTTTGAGGTACTTTTTGTATTTTAATTTTGTAACTACTCTACATTTCAAAGAGAAAACTGCATTTATCTGGCAAGTGTGGTTACTTAATACCTTGCAGAATATGGTTTTACAATAACTACATTGATAAGATAATAAAGTGATGCATTGTTAGAGAAAAATCAAGCCACTGTGGAACTGTGGCCTATGTGGAGTACATTACCATGAAATACTTCCTGCAGGTTAACATACTTTACTACTAATTCTTCTACGCTTTTAGCAGTGGTGGAAGAACTTTTTAGATACTTTTACCTAAATAACAACATTGTAGAAATATGTTTTAAAATAAAACTTTTACTATATTTGAACTATCTCATCTATAAATTTGTAATTTATTTACTGTTGAACCTATATATTCCTAAATATTTCTTTCATTTGTTTTTTGGCAACTGTCTTTTTGGATGTATTTTTAGGATTTTGTGAGGGACAATTTGTATTTCTATTTGTACGGAATAATCTATAATTATTAGAAAAATGTACATGAAGTAAAAAGGTAAAAGTACTATTATTACTGTAGTAGTATTACATTACAGTTGCATTAATGTGTAAGCAGGATATAAATGTTGCAGGTGGCAAGTAGCTTGGAAATTACAGCTGTCAAATAAATACAGTGGCATATAAAGTACAACATTTCTCCCTGAATTGTAGCCTTTTGAAGACAAGTTTATACAAATTTCAAGTACAAGGTTGATTTATTTGTCACAATACAACAGGTTGTAAAGTGAAATTGAGTTTATAACTCCCTTCTGCAACATAGCAGAAAATATTCATATAAAAGCAATTATAAATTGGTAAGCAGAAATAAAGTATGTTCAAATGAGCACTGCTGAAGATGAATTTGAGTTTTGAGTATTTTAAAATTGTTTTACAGTAACTTACTTTCATAAATGTTTAGTTACTTTCCATCCATGATAAAGACACAAAAAAGTCACATATTTTAGAATAAAAAATGTATTTTGAGAGTAAAAAATTACATAAGAATTGATGTTAGGGTAAAGGCTCGTATAAAACTGTTTTGGGTGGTTCGAATAAGGTTTAAAATAAAAATGTAAAACTTGACCCAAGACAGTGTCTGCTCACAGCGACAGGGGGAAGACTGTGGGCGGCTCTTTCGGCTTGTCTGCATGTCTGGGATCAGTTTACTACGTCTAAACAGTTGTTGGAAAACCTAACAACTGACTGTAGATAAGCCCTACAAAGTCACCGCCTATTTTTACACTTCGATTGAAACGTGCGCGATTGGTCAGAGCTATTGACGCAACGCACTAATATCCTTTAGCGATTGGTCCGAACGCCCGTCCAAGAATGTCAGTCAGAGTGATGGGCCAATCAGAGCCCCACTCGGCGTCTTTGTTCCTCCCGTTCGGTCTGTGACGCAGAGGGTCATGTGTTGTTTGTGCTCTGGCCCGTAGAGATGTGTACAGGAGGAGAAGGGAGCGGGTAGCTAACCGAGCTAGCTGGATCTTCCCGATCACGGCTGAACGTGGTCATGTTGCACACGGTAGGCTTCATCTCATGAAAAACGCCCGCGTTGGATTACCGCGCTGCTAAAAGGGCAAAGGGACTTGTTGTTTTGTTTTGTGTTTTGGACGGAATAACAAAGCCGGTCCGTGAGGATTGCGAATCTGAGCCGTTGCGAGTCAGCGTTAGCTGGCCTAGCCGGACTCGGGAGCTCGTCTCCCAAAACAAGAATGGGGTCTAGGTCCACTCGGATTAGCTTGCTAGTAAAGTGACCTTTGATTGTATTCTGTGATGGCAAATTTCACGAATTACCAGGAAGGCAAGGCAGCGATGTTGATGGTGGAGACGCAGCAGAGGGACGCGGGGACGAAATCTGCTGCCGCCACCGCAAACGGAGACGGCTCGGTCGGGGAACCCCCTTCCCCGTTAATTAATATCGGCGGAGGAGGAGGCGGCGGCGGCGGCGGCGGCTCTCGTTTCCATCAACATTTACCGCCCTCCAACCACCAACACCTCGGCCACCATCAGCCGCCAAAGGATCAGCAGCAGCACCACCACTACCAGCTCGCTCCGCAGCAGCATCTCTCCGGAGAAAACATCGCGGAGTCCCCGGTAAGGAAAGCCTCCTCCTCGTCTCTCAGCCAGGTATACGCCGCTGAGGACCCCGCCGCTTCCTCTGCCGCAAGCAGCAGCAGCAGCGGCAGCCATGTATACGCGGCTGTGAACGTCGCTAACAGCTTAGACGTTGTGGATGATATTCGAAAATGTGGATATTTAAGAAAGCAAAAACACGGACACAAGAGGTTTTTCGTGCTCCGGGCTGCCAGCCACCTCGGGCCGAGCCGCCTGGAGTACTACGACAGCGAAAAGAAATTCAGGAACAGCCTGCGCTCCGCTGCCGCGGCCGCCGCCAGCGGCGGAGCGGTCGCCCCGTCTCCCCCGAAAAGGGTTATTTACCTCTACCAGTGCTTCACGGTAAACAAAAGGGCGGACTCTAAAAACAAACACCTCATTGCCCTTTATACTAAGGACGAGTACTTTGCCATTGTGGCTGAAAACGAGCAGGAGCAAGAGGACTGGTACGTAGCTGTCAGTGAGTTAATGAGTGAGGGCAAAAAAGGGCACTTGGATTCTGACGATCTAGATGATGGATACGGTACAGTCACGCCTGGTACTGTGTTTAAAGAGGTGTGGCAGGTGAATGTGAAACCTAAAGGACTGGGTCAAACTAAAAACCTCACAGGTGTTTACCGGCTATGCCTCTCAACTAAAACCATTCACCTCGTAAAGTTGAACTCAGAAACCCCCTGTGTTAACCTTCAGCTGATGAACATCAGACGCTGTGGACATTCAGAAAGCTTCTTTTTCATTGAGGTGGGTCGCTCCTCCTCTATTGGGCCCGGGGAGATATGGATGCAGGTGGATGATTCTGTTGTGGCCCAAAACATGCATGAGACCATCTTGGAGACAATGAAAGCCCTGAAAGCGTATGCAGAGTTTCGGCCCAGGAGTAAGAGCCAGTCATCAGGCTCCAACCCCATGCCGTTTATCACAACACGGCGCCACCTGGGCAACCTGCCACCGAGCCAGACGGGCCTGCAGCGGCGGTCGAGGACGGAGTCCGTCGTCGGCACGCCGCCATCAAGTAAGAGCTCTGGGGCTAGTGGTTATCGCTTTCGAACATCCAGTGAGGGTGAGGGGACAATGAACCGGCCGTTCCGCTCCGCCACAGGAAGCCTGGTTCACCTTAACTCCGCGCGTGCCCATCATGGTCGTCAGGAAGGGGGTAGCAGCGGCGGAAGTGGTGTCGCCACAGGAAACGCTGGCACCAGCACTGGTAGCGCACGCTACGTCAGAGCCATCCCAGGGTCATCGTCGTCTATCTACCACGCCCGCTCCGCATCGCTGCCAGTCTCCCACTTCCCCTCCACCACCAGTCCAGTGAGCGTCTCCTCCAGCAGTGGCCACGGCTCCGTCTCTGACACGCTCACCCGCCCGTCAAGTGCCTCGATATGCGGCTCCCCATCTGATGGCGGCTTCAACTCCTCAGATGAGTATGGCTCCAGTCCTGGTGACTTCCGGTACTTCCGGGTGCGGAGTAACACACCAGACTCCCTGGGCAACACCCCACCAATCAGAGAAGAGAACTGTCTAAACGATTACATGGCCATGGGCTGGAACCGGGAGGTCTTCGGCACCACCGGGGGCTCTGGAAACAACAGTGGAGCTGACACGCCGCGGGATGAGAGCACGTCAACAACAGAGGATGAACGCTTGTCCACATCATCATCGCTGAGGAGGAGGACTCACTCTTTCTCTAGACAAGCTGGTGGTGCAGCTGGCGGTTCTGGCGTGGCAGTTTACCAGAAAATGACCCAGACCAACTTATCATTGGACGAGGGGTCAGATGTTGTGCTGCCATTCGGCAGTGGGCTGCTTCGTGGTGGGCCATCCTCCTCCTCTTCCTCGCTCCGCTCTGACTACAGCTCCTGCTCCGAGCACAGCCAGCAGAGCCGTCCCTCCACCCTCTCCCAAATGGAGGCCGGTGGCGAGCGCCCGCCCCTTTCCTCCTCCTCTGCCAAGGAAGACAGCGGCTACATGCCCATGATGTGTGGCGTGGCTGCGTCGCCGCGGGACACTCCTCCCGACTACATGCCTATGCAACCCGGCTCTTACTCCCATCCCGTCTCCCATTCTCCTCAGTTTCACAGCCCAGCTTTAGGTCCCCGTTCAACCCACCATCACCCCCACCCTCAGCTTCAATCCTCCACAGACTCCCAAGGCTACATGATGATGCTCCCAGGGGGCAGCGGCAGCTCCCCTTCTCCAGGACATGCCTCCCCCAGCCCCCACAGTAGCTCCAGCATGGCAGGTGCCAGTGGGAGTGACAGCATAGCAGAAAGACCTGAGAATGGAGAATATATGGACATGTCGTACAGCAGCAGTGGGGGGCGCAAGCTCACAAATGAAGGGAGCAGTGGGTATTACACACCTGGCACACCTGAGGGCACCCCAAAGTCTTACAGCCCGTATTTTTCCCTCCCTCGCTCTTACAAAGCCCCCACTAGAGAGAGGGATGAGAAGGAATATGGGGAGTATGTTCCTATGAGTTCTCCTGCCAAGCCAGTCTATTCATCAGTTGCCACATCTTCCATGTCAACACCAGAGAAGAGGGGTGGGGGAGGTAGTAGCACCTCCACTCCATCTCACCCACCCCCACCTTATGGAGCTCATCATACGACCACAGTGATGGCTGACCGTCGCGTTGTGAGGCCTAACCGCCTCCCGTTAGGCAGAAGAAGCTTCCATGGTCCTCTGCGGGTTAGTGAGCCCTCCACAGTGTCTGCGGGCACCTCCACCTCAGTCCCCACGACTGTCGGCTCATCTGAAGTGCCCTCCAGTCCCGGAGAGTATATTAACATTGAGTTTGGGGATCACTACCCCCACCAACAACAGCCCCCCGCTTATCCTCTCTCTGCCCAAGACGAAGCACCTTCTCTGGGATCCAGTAACCACCGTCGCTCCCCTCCCCAGCCCCAAACTCAACAGGACTATATGAGTGTTGAGGTGGGAGTAGACCAGCAGGACAGCACTGCATGTGTAGGTAAAACCCAGTCTCCCAGACCCAGCCTTGTGGCCCCCTGGAACCCACCCAGCTATATCCGACCCCTGGCTAGCAATCCTGGGGTTCTGGCCTCCCCTGGAGTCCCTGCCGGAGGTCACTGGAGGTCGATGGGGGACGACTACACAGACATGACTTTTAACCTCAGAGGTGAGAGGACGCAAACAAGCCCCACAGCCATGCTGCAGCATCTCTGTGTTATTGAGGGACGTTACAGCCACGCCCCCTCCGCCGCCTCCTCCTCATCCATGTCTCCTCCTCTCCCTCCGTCGAGCCCAAGCAGGGCACCAACACACCAGCTGGAACCCAAGGTGGTTCGGCCCGACCCCCAAGGCAGGAGGAGACACAGCTCTGAGACATTCTCCTCTACGTCCTCCTCTAATTCAACTCCCTCTGGAGGAGGACTTGGGCCTTCATCCTCAGCCACCCACACCGCACAGGTTAACCCCACGGCCCCTAATGGATCTTACCTATTGGAGGGTCAAGCTTCCAGATGGGCCAGCTCGGCATCTTTTGACAGTATGTGGGTGTCCATGGACTGTCTAGGGGACTCGCTGGCTCACCACACTCCATCAAGAGCCGTGGAAGTGGGCACGGCCTCCGGGATCTCTGCATCCCCCTCCCCCTCGGGGGCCGGAGCTGCCAGAATGTGCAGGAACATGTCTGTGGGCTACCAGAACGGCCTGAACTACATTGCCTTGGAGCTGAGGGATGACGGGAGTAATACCGCAGCCTTGGCGTCGGGAGCTGGTAGCAGCAATGGTAGCTCAACGGCGGCGGTGGCGGCGGCAGGGACGGTGCCTCTGCCGGAGAACGGAGCCTACGCCAGTATAGACTTCATCAAATCTGATGGAGTCACCACAACAACCAAGGGTGAGTAAATACAAGTCTGTGTGTGTGTGTGTGTGTGTGTCAAGTTGTCACTCACAGCCAAACGATGCTCAGATGTGTTTGTCTCCTCTGACAGCCATTGTTTTAAAGGCTCTGTTCTACTTTCATAATCATATTTGGGATGGAAACCTTTGTCTGGAGTTTACACAGCCTCAGCAGCCAGCCAGGGTTCGGGAAAAAAAAAACATAGCATCTTGCTTTGTGTGTGCGTGTAAGGATGATCTTTCATGTGTGAGTAAAAGAGAAGAGAGGGATATTTTTCCCTCACTGAAATCCAAAATAACTCCTAAGTGCTGTATGCTATTATTAGTCATATTATATCAATTTGCAGCGCCTCTAGTGAATCTATTTTGGATTAAGTCTGATCTTGACAAGGCTGCGTTCAGGCGCTTTGAGCAGCCAGACGTTTTGTCTTTGAAGGCATCTGTCCAGGGAACTGAAGTCTAGGCTTTAACAGTGTTGGCGCAGGAAGTGGCACCGACACACGGTTCATCTTGAGGTCTGCGTGTGTTGTGTGCAAGCAGACTGGTAGACAATTAGCTTTCTGAATGAACTGAAGTTTATCTGAGGTGAAGTGTGGACTGAGTCACCCAAAAAAAGGGCCCTGGCTTCCTGTCTCTGTAGCTGGTGTTGTCTCTCTGTGCCTGTCTGTGCACGTGCCGCTGTTTTCTTTGTGTCAGCATGTGTGCAGAGTGCACTAATGTTCGCAGCCTTTTGTCTACTGCAAGGCTATCACTTGAGACACTTTTCTACATCTTTGAAAAAATATATTTAATTTACACAACACATGGATGAGCGCCATGCCAGCAGCAGCAGCAGCAGTTAATGGCAAAAGCATCCTACAGCACAATAACCTGGCAGTAATTTAATGTTCAGTTTAAGTCAGTAATCAATTTTGAGGGCTGCGACTAACTGTTATTTTCGACAAATCTGCAGATTATTTTGTTAATCATTTTTAAGTCTATAACATACCAAACAAATAGTGCAAACAAACGATGCCTGTCATAGTTTCCCTAGAACCCTAGGTGACGTTTTCAAACAGTCCAAAACCCCCAAAGACTTGGGCTGCATCCACACTACTACTTTTTTGTTTGAAAACAAAAGAAATCTCTGTCCACACCAGCATTTTGGCTGCGTATCATCAGAATTGATCCGTCTTTATTAAAACGACTAAAAACGCCATTCACATACGCTGGGCGTGCGCATGCCGGTGTGGAGAGGAAACTGATTGTCTAGCCTTCAGTTGCAGAAGATTTGGCTAAAGAAGAAAGTACTACTACAGCCGACAATGAGGTGAAACTGTTACTGAAAGTAACACAGGAACTGTACAAAACAACTATGGCGCCGGAAAACAGACTGGGACGACATGCAGCATACAAGTGTTATTTACACAGTAAAAAATATATCGATAAAAATAACAAAACACTTATACCCTACCCCGGAGTTTTAAAACCAAAATGGGGTCAGCAGCGTTTTCAAACTTCTCCGTTTTACGTCTCCAGATTTGCGGTTAAAGTCTAGAGTTTTAAAACTAGTAGTAGTAGTGAGGATGCAGCCTTAATTTACTGTCATAACAAAGAAAAACAAAGTCTACACATTTGTGAAGCTGTAACTAGCTCTTGTTTGACATTTTTGTTTGAAAATTGACTGAAACTGTTAATTTATAATCAAAATTGTTGCTTTAATCAATGAGTCGACTAAATTCTTTTAGCTCTAATATGTTGTATGTAGTTTTGTTAAGCTTTTAACCTGTTAACCGTCTTTCAATCATTGTTGTTTAGGGTCTAAATGTGGCCACTGTCAGTCTGTGCTAATGTCGTGTTCCTCTGTTTGGTCTGTTTCTTGGTCACGTTACAACATTTTGTGACTGATGTACTGGAAATGTAGTAAATTACTTCTTTTGCAAGTTGTCTTGTACTGCTTTGAATAGTCACTGTTGAAAACGTTAAGTCAGACCTCCTTCAGACATAATTACTCGCTCTTCTAACTGCCTTTTGTAGTTGTGATTTTCAGTAGTCGCTGCCTGAACTTGTGGCGCTTCAAAGTTATTTTAATGTTTCAGAAATCTGACTTGCTTTGCAAAACAAGAACTCAAGAACTCACACGCAGTTGAATCAACAACATTATGAGGTGTGTGTGTGTGTGTGTGTGTGTGTGTGTGTGTGTGTGTGTGTGTGTGTGTGTGTGTGTGTGTGTGTGTGATCTCCACATCAGCCAGCAGTGCAGCAGGTACCTGAAGCCTTAGTTTGCAGTACTTGTACACTGTTGTTCCTTCACAAAAAGCTGCTGCATGTGTTTATGCTACTCTTCTCACTAGAGCTAGAGCTGCTGATCTATTAGTTGTCAACTATTATATTTATTGCCAACTATTTTGATCATTGATTTATCGGTAACATTTTTAAGAAAAAAAGAAGGAAATTATTTGTTACCAGCTCCTTAAATGTGAATATGATCTGTTCTATTTACTCTTCCACTACAGTAAACTGAATATATTTGGGCAGAGGACAAAGCAAGACATTTCAAGTCGTCATCTTGAGCTGGGGGAAACTGTGATCGACAGTTTTCACCATTTCCTGACATTTTATAGAGCAAACAGCTAGACAATAATGGACAGATTAATCAACAATAAAACAAATAATTGTTAGTCGGAGCCCTACCCTAAACTATGAGAGTAAGAAATAAGATTCTGAAAGATGCAAGTAAATCTAAATATTGAAAGCTATGTTCATTTTTGAGTTAAACAATTGTTAAATTATAAAGTACTAGTCATCAGTTGTTTTTCTGTAGTCTTACTGATTAATTGGCCAATTGTTTCACCACTATACATGTCCAAATACTGTCATATTAAAGCAAGTTTACAGATCACAACAGCTATAGTTTTAAAAGTATTATTGACTGGGTTTGGTGTGCTCAAGAGAATATTTATAAGTCTTTTAGATGGATGTTATATCTGTGCAGTGTATAATTGTCCGACACAAAATTCATGATAATATGCAAAATCTCATCAAATAAGCAAAATAACATTCAGTTTGTATAACTGTGTGTCACTGTGCAGCGTTAATCAGACTAAAAGCTTGTGCACAACCTCATTAACAATTCGGTTACTTTTTATTCACAACTTAAGCATCAATCTATTTTGGCTGTAGCTCTTTGGATTCACAGTCATCTCTAATTTCCTTGCAGACGTGAGTTTGCTACAGCTTTAAAGGCAGTTCTGATGTTCCTGCGTGGAGATGTTCGTGCACAGCAAAGCACTCGGTTACTTCATGTAGAGTCCATACATGGGTGTGTGTGTGTGTGTGTGTGTGTTAGTGCTGAGGTTAGGTCTGCAGTTGGTGTCGCAGACGGCGTGTTTGACCAAAAGAGGATGTTTTGACTCCATTTTCAGTCTTTTACTTCCTCTTTGATCTTCCCCTTTTCTCTTTCACCCACTCGTCCTCTCCTATATTCTCTCCTCCCCGCGTTCTCCCCTCGCTTCCTCCCTGAATAGTCGTTTTTCTCTCTCGCTTTGTGTGTGTGGGTGCGTGCATGAGCGTGAGTCAGGATTTTCTGCGAGCGCCGACTGACTCATTTGTTTATCGTGGTGCTGAATGGAGATGAAAGAGCTTGTGTGTGTGTGTGTGTGTGTGTGTGTGGTAAATCTACTGTGCTGAATGTGTGCCCGCCAGCACAGGAGATCAGCTGGCACTCAAAGGGCTCAAGCCACATCCCATTGTGCGTGTTTGTGTTTGCCCGTCTGTCTGTGTGTACTTTTGTTTTCAGCCGCTGCAAGCAGGTTCATTAAGTGTGTTTTGGTTCATGCAGTCCACGGTAGCGTTCAGAAATACTAATCCATGCCAACACACACACAGTCTCTCTGAGTCTTAGTCTGCGTGTGTTTGTCTTACAATTTATGCTCTGCATGTAGGTAGGTGTGTGTGTCTTTGTACGCGCTGAGTCATGGCAGGCAGCCTTTGATGTGGCGCTGTAATTGCAGCGGCGGCGTGTCAAGGCACACAGCGGGGCCGGGAGGAAGCGCATCATCATCATCCAGGAATGCACTTCCTCTCAACTGCGGTGTTGAGCTGATACAGGCACACCTGGATCCTTGACCCAGAGGAGAGAGAGGGAGGGGGAGGCCGCCTTTCTGTTCAGCTGTCAGGGAAAATCTGTGTGAATCTGTGAAACGTTCCCATAAATATTAAACAAGACGTGAATTAGGTGTGTTTACAGGAATAAACACTACCTGCAACCCTTAATCAATAACTTCATGTACGAAGAAACAAAATCACATTTAGATTGAGACTGACGTTAAGTTTTGCCCTTCTTTGTTATGTTAACCATATTTACATTGTCATAAAGGTGTGTAGGGCTGCAAATACCGATTATTTTCATTGTTTCTTGATTAATCCACTAATTGTTTTATCAATATAGTGTCAAAAAATACAGAAAGATGCCCATTATAATCTTGCAAATTCTTAGTATTTTTTTCAACAGTCCAAAAAACCAAAGGATATTCAGTTCACTTACATAAATGAGAAAGAAAAGCAGCAAATCTGTAAGTTTGAGAAGCTGAAACAAGGGAATGTTTTACATTTTTGTTCGAAAAAGAACGGAAATAGTTAATCACTTACATACATTTTCTGTCTGAGTAATCAACTTAAAGTTTCAGCTTAGAAGGTTTGCAGTGTATTTCCAGCATTTCTCTTTGGGTTAGGTTCAACTTGTGACCTCTGCTGATGGAGTTTGTTTGTGTTTGGTCTACTCTACGTTGTCATAATATTTCATGCACATAAACATTCAGTCGCCCCCCAAAAAACTTATTTACTGCTGAATCAATTCATCATTTAAAGTATATACAAAGGAAAATTCTGCCTTTTCTGCTTCTCAAAGCGTCAGGATTAGATGATTTTCCTCGCACAATATCATCTTTGTGTTTTGGACTGTTGGTCAGATAAATGTGTAACAGTAATTGACAGATCAATAATGAACATAATAATTTG